AATAATAAAAGCCCCTTTAAAATGCACCCACTATTCCTCTAGACTAGCCAACCAAGCCGCCTCTATCCTATTTCTTGAGAGTCCCCTGTAAAATATACCAACATTCCCTCTAGATTACAAAACCAAGCCCCTATCCTACAACATGAGAATCCCTGTGAAATGTACCCACCAGTCCCGCGGGCCGTAGTTTGGAGACCCCTGCTCTAGACTAGTCAACCAATCCCCTATCCTACAACTTGAGAATCCCTGTGAAATGTACCCACCAGTCCTTTGGATTCTAGATCACTAAACCCAAGCCGCGATACTTCAACTTGATATTCTCTGTGAAATGTACCCACCATTCCTCTAGACTAGTCAACCATCCCCGTACTCCTGTCGGCACCATCGTCTCAAGTTTCGCAGACATTCCATGCCGCATAACTCTAGACAAGACAATAAGGGGGATAACAATGTTATTTCGCGTCTACCGAAGTCAATGATAAACATCACTTCGTAGTTTTACTTAATTCAGGTATCTAAGTTCCAGTGAGCAAAATTCTTTTCTTGAATGAAACCATATATTCTAAAAACTTTATTACATAATTAAATCTACCTTTTAAATGTCGCGTGTTTTGATATGAACAGTGCAACTTTATACACAGTTCAAACACTGATCTTTTCTGTGCTTAGAGGTTTGTGTATCTATATATATAATTCTCTTCTTCGAGCCGTTAGAAAACAAGCTGCAAACGCTCTCCCTACCTCCCCACCCCTATATGGTTTTAGTGAGCTGTGTTCACTCTAAATGTTTACAAGCAGAGCCAACGATTTTAAACGTAGGGGGGGGGGGGGAGGGAGGGGGGGGGGGGAGGGAAGGAAGGGGGGGGGGGTTATGGTCCTTAACGAGCTACTTATAGTGTTTTAAAGAAATATTTTCAGTGTCAGCGTTGGTACTGTCGAATTCACAAATGGACACGAGCGAGAAAAGTCTCAAAGGTATTTGAGAGGTGTATAAATTCATTTAAAAATCATGCACAGAGTAGTTACAATTAATATGGTTATAAAATCCTGTCTGTCTGGTTTTTTTCGGACTTTACTAAAGATTGGATGTATTTGATGTTTATAATATTTTCGGTAACTAAATAAAAATTAAAAAAAAAGCAAAAACAATTTGGTTTTCACGTGTAATGGCGACATAAACAATGGCATCCTGCTATTGGATAGGCCGCCATTGATTTTATTGTACACATTGTAAGCTAAAAATAGAAAACTAGGTCATGGGGTTTTAAATTTGCATATTTATTTAAAAACTTGATCTGCAAAGTTTTGTAAACAAATAGTTATCGATCACTAAGTTACTGTACAGCCAATCAATATTTGTCTTACGAAAGTGAAACATCCGGTTATAACTTAGGCTTGATGAAAATAAATAGAAATGTAGCCTTAAACTCAACAAATTATTTTCAAGTTCTCTGGATTTGCAACTTTTATAGCATTTATTCTAAAAATATAAAATTTCTAAATTAATTTTAGGCTTAAGTTTTTATTTTTTATTTTTTTTTACGGTCTAAATCTAAAAAGCACGTTTTTATTCCATGACAACAACATTATGGAAGGAATCTCGTCAACTCGCTCGCCTCCATTATGAATTATTGAAAATTAGAAACAACTAAATAGCGGCGTATGTTATGCCGCGGGCCGGCTCGTTTGTATTATTTAAATTCTTTGCGATGTTTTCCTATCTTTTTAATGAACATGTAGAGTCTGAAAACAACCTATCTTTTTAATGAACTATTATTTTAATGAACAGTCATATACACTAAAAAAAAACATATATGGAGATGCAGATAAGCACAGAAATACCAAGGGTAACGCGCACAAAGACATATTTTCTTAAAGTTAAACAGACCCACACCAACACAAACATACTTAAAGACAAACCGAAACACACGTTAAGACATTAACACATACACTGCCTGCGAATCATGACCTCCCCCCCCCTCCAACCCCCCGACAAACACAACAAAAACCAGATGTTTCTTTCTGTCAATTCGTCTCGTGTTACAGAAGTTTAAGTTTAAGCTAGCAGACGGCTGTGACGTCTCGTGTTACAGAAGTTTAAGTTTAAGCTAGCATACGGTCGTGACCTTCTGGTGCTTGCTGGCTGACACTGACCTTACCGTTCTGGTGTTTAAGACAGTTGCTACACTGACGTCATCGACAGTGTTTCTTCCAGGCATCTCTCCGCCCCCCCCCCCCCCCCCACCCCAGAACGAAATGGAGTTAATATAGAAAATATATTCTTTTAACAGTGTAGCCCCCCCCCCCCCCTCCCCCCCCCCCCCGAAAATTTCAACAAGTGACCCCCCAGGAATAAAGTCTGGTAGAGGAAGAAACACAGGTCTTCAACACGTGTTTATTCTTCTTCTCTTCTCACACTATGTCAACATCTTTAACACATTTTCCTTACAAGACCAGAAGATGAAAAAGTGTCCCATAAATTCGAAATGACCTACTTTATTTCAAAGATAATACAAACTTGGGAGCAGGGTTTGATGTAAAATAATACATGTTAACCGCCACATTGCATTTATTTACGGTACTAATTTAAGGTTTTCAATAAAACAATGTAAGTAGCTACAATCTCTTCATGTATGTCTATGTCTAAAAGGGCAAATATGAAAAAAAAAATGCAAAATAGCTGCCATCTTTGCAATCATGTCTTTTTAAAAATTGATTTATTGTAAATTAATGCGAGTTATCTTTCATATTTTTATTGATGTCTACTTCAGTTCAGCTAAAGGAAAAAAAATTAAATTTTACAATTCTGTAAAAATGAAGATATAGACTTTCTCAAGCGAATCTCCATACCCGTCATCTCCCCGCCGTGTTTTCAACAACTGCGGACATCACCGAGCACTCGACTGGCCAGACAATTACCTCCCTTGTCAAACACAACAAAAGCTATCCGCCACCCAACTCCCGCCCCTCCCCCTTCAATCATCCCATTTTATGATTGACTGACAACCACTTTAACCATTTTCCACAAAATTTCAATCATCAATTCACTTCGCAATTTCAGCTTCCGTCGCGCAGTATTAAAAAGGTTAATTTTTCTTATTACTTCCCTTTTTATATTTCACTGCTATCTGACTGCTATTTGAAATAGATAATCTGCTTACGTCAGCGCACATTGATCACTTTCGGGAATACGAATTTATTTTCTGTTTTTGCTAATATATTTATTATCTTCTACGTTTCTAATCTAATGTTGTTAATATGGCTGTAATACATGAAACTAGTTATTTAACATAATGCTAGTATTTTACATTCGGTTATGGGGTTTCTCAAAGTCATTGAATGGCTTGCGTAGCTCACTATATTAAGTTAGACGTAGTTCGAAACCCGACCCCACCCACCCCCTCTCCCGTCCCATTTTGGGGAGAGGGGGGGGGGGGGGGGGGAAATCGGAGTCAAGTTAAAAAAAAATTAGGGTATCTTTGACCTTATAATTATATAAAACATAAACATCATTTACGGTGTTAAAATGTAGCCCTCCCCACTTTACTATACACATCGCAGAACCCCCCCCCCCTCCTATCCCTAGTTAAGGGTGGGAGTTTAGATAACGACTAACTGAATTCGTCATTAGCTTTATGTAATCTCTAAGGCAGGTTGATATAAAATGTTATTCATCATTAGGGTTAATTTAATTTACATTATAATTTAATATTATGTTCATTGTTAGAGTTTATTTAATGTACATTAATCTAATAATAAGCCCGTCACTATTGCTTTACAGTGGCTAGTGTACAGTGTACACTCTGTTCTAGGCTAGGCCATTGTCAGCGTACACAATACACAATACACACTAGTACGCTTTTTCTTCGGTGTGCCATCACACCCGTTTTTAATCAACCAATCAACATCTTCGTATCAGATAACCGTCGCTGTTAGTCATTTCATCCCCTCTGTTTATAGGTCAGGCGAGTTCACCGCGCTCGATCTCGCTCGGCAGTGGGTTGTCTGCCCCTGCTTGACAGTAGGTTGTCTCCCCTGCCCCTGTTAATCTCCCCTTGGTGAACCGCAGTTCACTGCCCGCTATAAATAAACAGTGTCAACATTGAGAGCTTACATAATCTCCAGCCATTAAATTTAATCTACTGGTGTTTTTTTTTTCTATTCTTGACACAGGTGATAGTAAAGGCTGTAGACAAGTGTGTGGATATGTAAAGGATGAAAATATCAACAAGGACTAATCTACCAAGTGCTTTTCTTTTAACGGATTTGTAACAAAATTCAACATGTAAAAGCGCCTTATCTTGAACATTCGTTGTGATATAAAACTTGAATTCTGTGGAGTTACTATTAACGATGTTTAAAAATAGCTTTTAAAATATTTTTTTTACCTGAATAAAAAAATAAAAAATAAAAATTAAGTGATGGTGAAAAAAAAAGCAACAACATGAAAGCCCGAAGTTGATTACCGCAGTAGAAAGTAATCGATAAAAGCAGTTTCACTTCGATTAAAACGTAATGTGTTATCTTTAACGACTTGGAAGGCTCGACTTTGTGTTGATAAGGTTGTATTCACAAGGTGTGCTATCCCGTCTAACAACGGTTGAAGGGTTGTGTTGAGATGTGACCGGATGTTTTAAGGTTACATTCTTTTCAACATGTGGATAGAGAATTGTGATTAGAATTGGTGCTATGGTTAACATTGCGAAGGATAGCACGTATTTAAATTTTTTCTTTTAAAGTGACTGTGATTTTTTTTTTTAATTTTCAAACAATGGCAAAGCTTATACATTTGTTGTTGGTTATATATTCACTTATGTGTATGGTTTTGTGTGAAGGTGTTAAAACACCTTATACAGTCGATGGTGTTGTTTCCGACCAACGTAATCAAGGACCAATGTGGACTTATGGGAAAAATGTTCAGTTTCCATTTTCTTCAGTGGGGAAAATTCTGGGAGTAAGTGATAAAGACACGCATTCTCCAGTGAGTATTGTTACAGTTAGTGACCTACATTCGGTTGAAATTAGGCCAGAATCGAAGAGTAAAATTTCCGAGGTCAGTGACATCGAATTATCGAGAATTCCTCGCATTGTGGAGTACCGTGATGTGCTATCAAAGCCAGGCGACGTGGCGAGTCTACGGAGGTCTAGGAGAAACGAACCGGAAGTGACACAAATGAGCTCTGTTTCAGAGTTTAATGGCGTTGGCGGGGACGTCACAACGGCAAGCGGCGCGGAGACGTTGCCTAGCGGTGACGTGTCGAGTGACGTCCCGAGTGACGTCCATCAACGTGAGGCCCCAGACGTCGCCAGTGGCGTGACGACCAAGACGTACACGCCGGCGGAGACCGGAAGTACGGACGGTGGGGTGGGGACGACCTTGGACGATGCTGCTCTCGTGACCAGCAGCAGTCACGTGACGAATGTGTTGGTCAGCTCGTCTAAGGATACATTACAAACCACATCTGATGTTCTTCCGGTTTCTGATAAGGTTGACCCACTTCCGGTTTCTGAGAAATTGCCACCAACTGCAGTGTCTGACACGTCTGATCCTCAACCAGTAACTGATGACGCTGCAGCAACTGTGGACAAATCTGATCCAGTAAACAACTATGACTCGTCTCATCCGTCTTCAGCGGGTGATACGCCTGCTACACTATCGCTATTAGATAAATCTGATCCACCTCAAGTATTATCCACATCTGATCCACTTCCGCTTCAGCATAATTCATATCCACTTCCGGATTCAGGAAAATCTGACCCACCTCAAGTATCCAAAACCCCTGATTCAGTTCCGCTACTGGATAAGTCTGATCCACCAACAGGTTCAAGCAAATCTGAAGCATCTTCAATATCCACAACCCTTGATCCAGTTACACTAAACCCTGATCAACCCCATGATTCAGGGAAAGCTGACCCACTTTCAATATCCAATACTCCTTATCCACTTTCGCTATTAGACAAATCTGAGCCAACCCCAGATTCAAGCAAATCTGACCCGCCTATAGTAACTGATACATCTACTCCGTTGCCACTATTAGAGAAATCTGATCCACACTCAACATCCGAAATAACTGATCTCTTTCCGGTACCAGACATTTCAGCATCACCTTCTACACCAGACGATAACATATTAATGAATGACGCCGCTGTTTCATCAACTCCCGCCTCTGTAGATCTTGTCACCGAAATCTTCAACGTAGGGGACATCATGTCGTCATTATCACCTCATTCATCAACTCACACAACCGACGAGAGTGTACCAGCAGGCAGACTATCAGAAGATATTTCATCGCCTTCAGAAGATATTCCATCACCTTCAGAAGATATTCCATCACCTTCATCAGCACAGGACGAAACACCAACACACACTACCAACACAGCCGAAACCCCAACACACACCGCCAACAAAGCCGAAACTCCATTCGCACCACACAACGACACACACACCCCTCACACCACCATATACGACCAGACTCTCATACCAGCAGCCAGCAACGAATCGTCTGCTCACACTTCTGGCTCGTACACAATTCCACTCCAAGCAAAAGATAGCCACATGGTAGACTCAGCCAAGTCTTCAACAACGCTGGATATTATCATCACCCCTTTAAATTATACAACTTACTATCACCAAACTGGCTTCGTTACTGAGGCGTCGACTACAGATCAGGCTTTATCTGATAGTGAGGTGACTACTAAAGATTCAGATATATCAGAGACAGCACAAAATTCTACTGCATCAGTACCTAACGATGGTGTCAGGAATATAGAGGAGAAAACGACTACCATGGAGTCGTTTGATGACGATGCGTCTACGACGATATTAGTAGATGTTGGCGACGATGCCACGACGGCAGACTTCTACGATGATACAACCCCAGTATCAGACTTCTACAATGGTACAACCATAGTGTCTTATGGCGATTACGATACCTCGACAGTCTCCATACCTGATCTTCACTCCCACACCAACCCACAGACAGACCCACAAACCGACCCACAAACAGACCCACAAACCGACCCACAAACCGACCCACACACAGACTCACACGCCAACTCACACACACAATCTCAAACCAATGATCTACACGCGTCAGCCCCTGACCCAAACTCCACACAGACCTCCCCCCGCCCTGCACACTTCCACGAGTTCACATTCCTGGAGCCCGGCCCCAACTGGCACCACGCCAAGCACGTCTGGCAATACGCCTGGGAGATCCACACCTACACCCTGGGATGCCTCTTTGGCCTTCTAGCCCTCTACACCCTCCTCAGTGTGCTCAGGCTCTGCCGCAAACAGCGCATGCTCCCAAAGAGCTACTTCCTGTCCACCAACTTCTTCGTCTGTTTGGTGAGCTCCACTCGAGCCTTCTACATGCTGTACGAAAGCTACAATTCCTACGCCAGCTTCTCCCCGAGCTTGGACTACTTTCTGTACACCATCACCTTCCCTGCGCTGACGTCAGCTTTTGGGCTGGTTGTGTTTGCTCTTCTGGAAGCAACGGGGATGCAACTCTTCCGACCAGCATTGCAAAAAATACAGGCGAGTTATCTTTTCATTTTATATTCTTTTCGTTACTAATCAACATTTTAAAATATAGATTTTACTTTTTTTTTCTCAACACAATTTTTTTTGCATGGTACATAAAATATTTTTTAGTATGAGATTTGATTTATTCAAAATATATATCATTACTTTCTCTTCCCAAAAATTTTAGTCAAAAGACATTGAAATTGAAGGGTAAAAAAAGGGTTGGAAGTTTAACTTTCTGTTTAAAAAAAAATATTATTTGCCCTCGAAAAAGAAGACAATAGCTATCTCCGTTTTTATTGTATATCAACAGTTGCACTCAGTAATTTAGTAACAAAACCCAAACACACAAGTAACGTTGTAACTAAATCCTCCGTCCGTTCCCAAAAACAAAAAAACAGTACAAAAATATAAAACGATGCTTTTAGCTAATTAGCTAAGTTTGGAACCTCAAATTTCCCCAAAAACACAGAACCGATGTCTTGTTACATTATTCGCTCAACCTTAATCCACAAACAATCCCCCGAACCAAACCTGAACCTGCACATAATCCCTTTAACAAGTCCACGTTCTGCGATTAATCAACGCAACAAAACCTGAGCATGTAATTAAATTGATGGCACTAAGAGATAATTGCTGCTGAAGTGTATAAGTGATCCCAGCGGTTTAAACGCTGTCCTCTTAACGTTTTGAAATAATGCCAAAATGGCACGTGCATCTACTTAACAAAACAACGACACACATATGTTATAGTCACACCCACATACAAAAGTATGTACTGAACTAGCACGCTTGTAGATAATTAACACAACGATGTTCACATTTACCTTAAGACATGAATCTACCTAACAAACATTTATTTATAATCAATATACACCAACATTTTCACATTCAAACAAAAACACATGCACTAAACGAACACGCATATTCACAACCACACAGTCAAATCTACACATGCCCATCAAACACACACACGCACGCACATAGGCCTACATCCATACATTCACATTTAACACGGCATTCCTACTTAAGTAAACACACACATACACACACATATTCATTCACGTCGAACATGACATTCCTACTTAAATAAACACACACACACATATATATGCACACACACATTCACATCTAACATGACATTCCTACTTAACTAAACACACACACACAGACACACATCTGACATGGCATTCCTACTAAAGTAAACAAACACACACACGCACATACACACATACACATTCACATCTAAAATTACATTCCTCCTTAAGTAATTACAAACACCAACATATATACATACATACATACGTACACATCTAACAAGACATTCCTACTTAACTAGCATACATACATGCATACACATTCACATCTAACATGGCATTCCTTCTTAACTAAACATACACACAGACATACACAAAGAAACGCACATGTATACTTTTCACAGCCGCTATTACGCCCAACATATCCTCACATATCTCTTTAAAACCTCGAAGCCTTACATAAAAACCTGCACATTTTTCACTGCTCACCAGCATCGAAAGCAGACACGTGATGAAAGCCAGCTCACCAATGCCAAGTGTTATCGCTAGTTCAAGGCCAATAAAAAAAAAAAACGCTAACTCTGGTATTTCCTAGAGACTTTTTAAACTGAAGCCACTTTTTATACGACGCATTTAACACCAGCCGGCAATAAAAGCTTGAAACATTACCGAATTTAAAGCTGGGATCTGTTGTCTTGGTTACGCCCAGCGGTTGAGGGGAGGGGTGGGAGTGGGGCATTACGTAATGGCGTCACTTTTTTTTTTACAAAATAAACATACAGGGGTGTCATATTTTGCTGAGATGTGTATCAGTGTGAATTTCCTCAGATACAATTTTTCCATACTAGCTGGGTGGGTTTTTATAAGTAAGTTAAAAGAGCAGAAAGATGCACAATAAATTAAAAAAAAATTAAAATGAGATTATACCCTACTTTATACGTATTTGTTCGATTTATAACAAGTATGCAGTTGAAATGAAAACGAGCATTAATATTGGTTTTGCTGTGATAAAGTAGCATTCAGTTCTATAACTGTATGCCCAACCGTCTTTATTTCCCCAACTCAAGACAGGTACCATTTAGAGCTGGGTGAGCTCAGAGTAGTTCTACGCATTCAAAAACGTGAACCTATGTTTATCTGGCTATTAATCAAGAGAACTGCTACTCGACCACGCCTTCTCAATAATTCTTTTCCTAAACCTCCCCTAACCCCAAAATAGCAAACCTTGAAGAAAAACATATTTGCAATACTGTCTTGCGTATCGTTTAAAAGCCTTCATCATTTCAACAGTGTAAACGAAATCAGCGTTTTAAAACAATTACATTTTATAAACCAAATATCAAGTTTCGTGTCTAGCTCAACAAAGTTTTCAACAAAAACAGCAGACCCCATTCACTAACCGAATTCTTCGTTTCTCTCTGTTTCTCCCTCCTGCAATAAATAATCTTAATCTCCACGCAGATTCTGTTTCTGCGTTGTCGACATATCGGATGCATTAGTGAAGCGGTGTTTATTGTTCAAAGTTTTAAGTTTTATACACGAGTTTTCACTTATCTGTACTTGAGTTCTCTCCCCTTGTTTGAATTGGTTTATTTTTAGATCGAGGTTTTAATGGCTCACGTAGTGACGTCCACTTTATTGTACTGTGTTTTTACATGGAGGCCTAAGTCAGTCAGAGTAAAACATAATGCCTTTGTTAAAAATCAAACGTGTTTTTTACTTTAAATAGGCATGATATTTTATTTAAAGTTGTATTTTTAAAACACTTACATAATATAGCAAGGGTTTAAATTCATTGATAAACATAGAATATGATAATTGTGTTTTTTTCTCTGAATACGTGTCAAACAATTACCTATCCAAGGTAGGTCATCTGACCGTCCTTAACCTACACTTGACCTAAACTTTGGCCTTTTTTTATCACTACAGTATTACGCCCTGTGTATCTCGAAAAAATAAATCAGCTTTGTTTAGACTTTCGTGCACACGGAAACATATTTTCCGCCAAGACGCACTTAATCCCTCTCTCATTGAAACGTAGAATCCATTAATCTTTTTAATTATGTTTATAAACTTCCATTCTGACTCCCGTGCCCCATTTATCACCTGCATATAACACGCTATTTACCTATGGTTTACCATCACTCAATTTAATTATACGTATTTTTCGTTTCTTTTTTTTTCCAGATTGTGGTTGGCATTATTGTCGTCCATTTGGTGCTGTCTCTTGCCACAGACGTCTTGGCGGCGCTCCAGCCCGGGACCCAAACCCTACGGGCAATGCTGCTAGTTTGTCATCTGTTCTTCCTAGTCTGGGGGCTCCTCTTGTTCTTCGGCTACGCCTACATTTTCCGGAAGTTGTACGCGCATGCGCTGAAGAGCCAGAAGCACGCGACCAACGGCTCCCCGACTGACCACTGGGTGAGCACGGTCAAGGTCAGGAGCAAGTTCACGCTCAGTACCGCGGTCAAGGTCATGTTCTTCACCGCTATCTGCGGCCTGGTCATCGTGGGGTTGGAGATCTACGCTGTCGTGGATGTGTATCGGGTGTTCACGGATGATCGACCCAAGTCCTGGAAGTGGTGGCTGTACCACACCGTGCTGAGGGTGTTCGAGTTCCTGGTGTGTGTCACCATCAGCTACGTCTCTTCGCTGCCGTGCAGGTATTCAAAAGCGGTGGACACATTCTCCTGCGGCGTGCTGTGCGCACCGTGCAATGAAATCCTGTGCTGCGGGAAAACCCTCAACAACGGTACCAGCCATAACAGGTCTGGCAGCTTCATAGACTGGCGACGCGCCAGCCAGGACCAACCCGACTCTAAAGAAAAATCTCGTGTCAAAAACAATGGCATCAAGTTAGGTAAATTAAAAAAGAAGCATCGCTTCACCGAAGCTGAGACTAGACCAATCATAAGCCACCCGCATACTTATTCATCCCGTCCTGCGTCGTTGATATTTATAGAAAACGGGACTGTCCGATTTCAATCAAACGACGAGATTAACATTCTCGTTCCGGAGCACGAAGACACCCATAACATGAACACCTTTCAGGTGCGAGACACCATGGGCTCATACACCACTGGTGTCAACAGCGAGGACGAGAGCCACAGAGATCTTTCTAGAAAGAGCAGCTTCACGAGCGGGGAGTTCTTCCGGGCTCCGAGCTCGCTGAGTCTGGCCGAGAGCCTGGGCAACGAGATGGAGAAGGTGTTTGAGAGCTTCCGGGTCGACACCAGCATGGAGGACGAGGGGTTCGAACCCGGGCCGAGCCGGGACGACGGGCACACCGTCACGTCTTTTTCCAACTCTGGAACCAAATCAACTTTCTTGAACGACATATCTTACGTAATCTCAGACGATCGGATGGTGTATCTCTCCGATGACGACGAAGAAGAATATTATCTCCACAGTAGGGGGAAAACCAGTATCGATGATACTGAAGGTATACTTCCCTCCAGGGGCGAGAACTCACCTCTGCTGTCGTACAAGGGAGACAACCCACACGACAGCGACTACGAAGTCGAGTTTAAAATGACCGCAGGCCTAGAGAGGAAGCCGAGCGTCGGTCAAGGTCACCAAGCCGCCATTTTGAACTCGTTGTTTCGGTCGCGTGAGACGGGGTCGTGTGAAAACATAGACGTGTAGGGCAACTGTTGATGACGTGTAGCGCAACTGTTGATGACGTGTAGCGCAACTGTTGATGACGTGTAGCGCAAGTGTTGATGACGTGTAAGATATTTGTTAATGACAAAAAAGACCTTTATAATGTGAAACTCGTTGGTTATTGAATGATGCGCCACGCTTCGGCTGATGACGTATAACACATTTGTTGATGACGAGCAGTACCTTTGCTTCCAAGGTGTAATGATAACATGACGTGTACCACATCTCGTGATATGATATCAACACAGCTGTTGAAACTCTTGTGTGACGTTTAACACATTGTTGATGACGTGTATAACACTTTTGATGACGAGAGTCAGAAAATAATTGACATTTAATAAAACTTTTAAGTGCTACCATAACTGTTCAAATGTTAACATAATTGTTTAAATGTTGACTTAATTGTCTATACCCTTTTAAACACGGGATGTTCTATTCATCTCTGCCGAATGTTGTTAACCTTATCCTACTATAAAAGCACATTGTTTATGTCTAACATAACACCAATTTTATAAAATTGTGGCTTTTGCTACACTGATGTTGTGTCCAACAGCAACCTAAACACCACGATCAAATTCATTCGTGTGCCTACGCTTGATCTCTTTTAATTTCTGATTGTTCTGCTTTGTTAGCTAACATCTGCACACCTTACATCTTACACAACATGTAAGCTGGCGTTGGTTAAATGTGGAGCAGGAGTTACTCACGTCCACGGGCTTAGTTGAAATGTAATTACACCGAGACAAAACAATTACTATGCCAATTCTTATTATATATTTATACACATACATATATACAGTTTATATATATATATATATATATATATATATATATATATATATATATATATATATATATATATATATATATATATATATATATATATATATATATATATAATTTGAGGCAATTTTTATTGGTCATTTTTTAAAGTCAATTTAAACATCAGTAACGATTTTAATTATTGAAACCATTGACATTAAACAACAATTACAATTTAGAAAAAAAAAACACTTAAAAACAGTGATCAATGCCACATTTAAAAATACATTGTTTTGACGTTTTTCTAGTCTAGGTCTTTGTAAACTGTACGCGGTCATATAAATAGTTAAGTTTGACTTGTGGTGTTTTATTTTCGTGTAGTCAGCCCATGTCTTTCCATTCTCCGTCGTGTTGTTTACATACTTGTAAAGACTCGTGAAGGGGGATAACTGTCGTATACTGCAAGTTAAACAATGGTTGTAACATTGAATGAAAGATATTGTACTGTAACTTTATTGTAACTGTGCTACTCTCACTGTTCGTGTAAAGATATCTATAAAATGAGTGTAAAGTTATCTATACAATGATTTTATTGCTATTGTCATTTTAATTGTATTCAAAAGAAAACTTTTAAAAATATGTACATACTTTTTTAAAAGACAGTATTATTAAATTTTTAATCTGAGATGCATTTTCCTTGTTTTTCATTTGATGATAATCACGGGTGTTTTGTAAGTAGTGCAATAACCACAGTTATACATGTCTAAATATAAATCAACGAAAGTAAACTTACACAACGCCAATGCACGAACTAAGTCGGCAACGGACGTCTGTTATAATGCCGCACCAGCCACAAGATATGTAACCTATCAACTTTAAAATCTGCATGTCACATTAAACACAGAACTACTCGTAAAATGGAGAATGGTATTAAGCGGGAAGAACATAGAAATGGCCTTCAAGGGAGTGGGGGGTGAGTCGGTCGTATGGTAGGGAATACGACTACAATTGCGAAGCTATCGAGTTCGAATACCGGACTCTAGGACATCCATGTGAGCTCATTTTAACTCAGAATGTCAACTAACACACGTTAGGAGAGTATAGGCGGCTGTGCTGATCACATTATACCCTCATCTGCCGATGTCACAGAAACAGATGATAGGTGAAATTTACTTCACCTGCCCAATGAACTTACTTTCGTAAGTACATTTTACTTCTAGAAGATGGCAGACAAATATATATGGTACAAAATAATGAGTTAGTTTTTCTGCTAGAGGAGGTGGCAGGGAATGGGCTTCAGGGGGAGGGGAATGGTAGTAGTGTTCCCCTGAAGAGATGTCTGAAAGAAACTATGCACTTACGTCACGCGACAGAACATACAAGATCCCGAAGAAAATTTGAATCAGAAATTGTTGAAGCTATATTTCAGATTTGAGGTTTAAGTTCACGTAACAAATCTATTAAAAAATATTTCAAAAATACATATCCCGTTCTGTTTATTATTTTATACGGCTTATTTTAATAAGCAGAGATAAAAAAATCTTTTGCAGATATAATTACAATTTAAATTTAAAAAATATAAATACCATAATTTAATTGAAATATGTTTCCAAAGTAAATATTTCTTGATTCTCAAAGAACGGTAACACCTGCTAATTAAAACCTTAGTGTTTATAAAACTGCTTACTCCCCCTTCTTATTCTTTTAATCAGAAATCTTCAAAAAGGTTTATAATTTCCACAAAAGCATGTGTTGTTTTAAGACTCCGCAAGTATACTCAACCAATTAACGATTTGAAACTTATGTAAACAATTCAGAACCCGTCAGCCGACGTAGAAGAAATAAACAACACACGCAAGAATTTAAACCAGTAACGCTACCATTAGCCTAGATAAAGGTAATTTGGTACAATGTATAACATCACCTGCCTCGTTGGAATGTAATTCTGGTTCTCAAATGGCACTAGGATTTACATTGATGTCTAATTATTTCCACGATATTTATATTACATTCTGAATGCTCAACACGACACAAATAATTAAACTAAAGCCATTTGTACTTGCTGGCAGATGGTTATAAAAAAACAGTATTGCGATGACGCTAGTTCATGGTAGATGGTAGAACCAGGCTATAGCTTAGTTAGCTTGTCACAGGCTTTTTCTCCTACCTATTTCATGACACACACTCAAAACAAAAATCAACCCTTGTTCCGTCAATTTCCATAATTTTATTGGTTCATAAGAACATTGCCTTCACTCCCAGACATCGCCATGTTGTTCCCGCCTTATATACCTCTCGCTTCCTTTCCTTAGCGCATGCGCACACCCACCTTTCATTTTAGATCCATATCTCCTTTTTTTAAGATACACACTCGAAACATACATTCATCTACATTTAACTGTTACATAGCTAAACAGACCAATGGATATACAGGAGCTGACTGGTCACGTGGGACGGTCAGCTGACCACTAAAGCGTCGGTCAGTAGTTAGTTCAAAGGAGTTAGTGATAGGTAGCCAATAGAGACGGTCGGAGATATGTAGAGTTAGGTATTTAGGTAGAGGTAGATAGTGTTAGGGTTGGTCATGGGAGTGCGTAGTTGATAGTATAAGTATATAACAAATAGTAGGCCTATATACTAGTTAGGTAGGCAGTTGATTGTGTAAATTTGAATAAAGAACATTATATTTTGACATGGACTGTGTGTTGGATCTTCTCTTCATCTTCATTCACCCCCAACCCTCACAATGTTCGGGAAAGTTTTTGTATTCAACTCTCATCCCATGTCTGAACAGAAACTCGGCTTTGTCGAAATCTCATTCAGAGTTTCTTTCAAGCATTTCCCTACTCCTCCTTAGCATGCCTACAGCGCCCGTTTCCTACAATGAACTTTTTCAAAACGAATTGTGTAGAAGATCTATACTTTAACCATCGTCTTACTCCCTTCCCCCCCCCCCCTCACATCCCCCCAGGCTCCTGAAATACTTCAACCCTCGGTGTCTTTCAACCACAAATGTTTTTTTAATTATGATTCAAATGACAGAATCCGAAAATTCTTCTATACTACACAAGCTTGCATCTGTACGTGGTTATTTCGAATATTTCATCTACATTCACACATTTTAAATGGTTATTGCAAACATTTTATTTACATTACACATTTTAAAGTCGTAATTGCAAATATTTCATTTACATTACACATGCCTGTATTTTTTATTGCATCACGGTTCTTTTAGCTATTCACCTTCACCTTATACAAACCAGCGGATGATTTGGGCACATAATCTCTAACATTATCACACCTGAAGCCATCTAAGTAAGTAATCATACACATTATTAAGATTTTACGCTACTATTGTAAAATGTTTGTTTCTATAAAAATAAATCATTTTACTGTATTTTTATTTTAAAGTTTTAAATTTTAAACACACCAATAAGTTCATTAAGAAAATTATTGTTTCACGTTCGTAGAGTTGTCCTGAGACGTTTGTGCTTATCGCGCGAAGTTCATGTAGACATTTTACTTCTTGGTTGGTAAGTATTTTCTTCGTCGAAATCGCAGCTAGAATTTTAAAAAAAAAATGTGTAGTAGTATTAGAGTTTGGCTTTTCGTGTAGTGGGAAAAAAATTATGAGAATATATTTCGGATTATAGTTTCCTTTCACCTAGGAAGGTAAAGAAAAATGTAAGAACAAATAGTATAAAGATAAATGAATTTGTGGAAAAATAGTGTCGGCTTTAAAATTAGTTTGATCGGAATACAAATAGCACATAGGTAAATAATTATAAGATAAGTACAAATAAAAATAAAATAATATTTTATTTACTTAACAAAACAACACCAAGTTTAATAATCAGTTGAATCATTATCGATTTAGTAACGATGTTTCGATGTTAAGTAATGATTAGACTGAATTTTCGTTTTAAAGAAGCAAACTTGGTCGTAAGTGTAGGAGTAAAAATACACCTCATAGAGTACAGACATACTTTGTAAAGCTACATTGTATTATTGATATTCTTTAGTTGATATTAGATGACATACTGTTATAACCAGTTCCGCTTCTCTCCCAGTGTGTACAGTATGGCAGCTTGATACGCTTCGGTGAACACACGCAGGTACACAGATGTATTTTTAGAAATAAAATTATTTCAAGTAACACAATTGCTGTCTCACCTACGTCACAGAGGAATGTGATGTGACCGGAATAACAGCTTTGCATATAATGGGTTATTTTAAAGACATGTTTTCAGAAACAGACACGGAAGTTTTAAAGTAAACTATTTCTTTATAGAGTAGAAATGACATAGTGGGAAATATCATTGAGTCATTGCAAGGTTATTCATACAACGAGCGTTAAGATTCTGTAAAAATGTTTGGGTTTGTCGTTATTTATTGCAAAAATAACATTGAATATTGAACTAAGTAGATGGCGTTTAATAACCTGGATCTCAAGTAAGTTAGTTTGTTCTAACTTGGTAACAAATCTTGAAATCTCATCATACTTAAGAATGTAATTAATTATTTAAATACAAGTTTTAAAATATTATTTACTTTTCAATAGTGAAGCATTTTATACCTTCACTTATTTAATCGAAAAAAATAGCTTCCAGGATAAGCTCTATTCAATGCCATACATTAAAAACATATAAGTATCTGTAGTTTTATTACATAGAACAACATAAACACTTTGTAGGAAGTGTTTCAAATGTATAAGATATCTCTATACTACTAAAACTCGAGTTTGTTTACATGTTTGAATATTTATTTGTTGTTTTTTTTTGTTTGTCTGATTTCCTACTGGAGAGAATCTGCACTATTTGTAGAGCTGTAAAATAGTATGTAGGTAGAGAGCAATTTTTGTTTTCAGACAAACTGTTAATCACAAATTTATTTAAAGACGTTAATTAATTTATTGATTTATACATTGGTAGATTAACCACATTAATTATAAAAGTTTCAAACAGTGGCTTTACTTTGACTGAATAGTGACGTCACATGATTTGTTTACGTTTTACATCAACAATGGCGGCTTCCATCGAAGAAGATTGTGTTCCCATTCCAATGTTTAACGCGTTTAAAAAAGCTAATTTTCTGTCGGCTATAACTTTAACAATACGGCAATTTTCTATATGTATTACGTTCCAACCCTTATATCAATTTTCAACTGTCTTTTTCATTTAATTTTACAAAAAAACTCTCTAGATCTACAGATCAGTTGTCGAAGGAAGAAAAAGTTATGAATCTAGATTCTAGATCTAGATCTAGATCTAGGTCACTAGACTGGGCATGAATTCTGGATCTAGACTTAATGTAAATTCTACATAAAAAATCTATTTCAGACTTTCATTATATTTTATAAATCTTTGTTTGTTTAGCTATGCAATTGGCTAATTTAAGATAAAATTTAATTTGAAAGTTACTAGACTTAGATCTAGATCTAGATAGGACCTACGCGCGTAAATCAAGTTGCATAAGGAGACTCATAGTAATAAGTTATACCACAAAAAACAATCAGTGACGTCACAAGTCTAGCCAGCTAAGTTGTTAATGTAATAGGCTTTCATGCGTGTCGTAAGGGTTCTAGACATATCACGTCAAAGTTTTAAAAAAAATTCAATTTTTTTTTATGTGAATGATAAATTTGACTATCTGAACTTGGCGGGATACAGGGCAGATGAAGTAGAGTGCATCTGTTTCTTTGTCCTAAGCATATGAAGGGATAGTGTGGTCAGAGACATGCTCGGCCGGAATCGTTTTTTTTAAACGATAAAAACATGTTGTCTGAGACTTGTCGGGATACAGGGCAGATGAAGTAGAGTTCATCTGTTTCTTTGTCCTAAGCATATGAAGGGATAGTGTGGTCAGACCTATGCTCGGCCGAAAATGGTGCTTTTAAAAGATAAAGTGACCGACGTGATGTTATTTATGGATGACCACCGAAACTCAGAATTATCTAACTAGATAACGGGTAGTCTAGTAATGTATTCAATCTCAATTATATATATTGTTTTTTTAAACCTAGACATTAAATCTAGAATCAATTTCATCTTACTGACCAGCCAACTATGTAAAATTGAAAAATCGGGTCCTATAAAGCAAGAAATGAGCAGCTGTTGTAGTTTATACGATGATGAATAACCTTCCTTGACTTCGAGTAGATATGTTGTTAAAACTTTCATATTACCGTGATTATTACCAAAACAACTATCATAAATATGGAAAAATAGTGTTTATAATTTTTAATACTTTTAATTAAATTCAAAATCACCTATGGTTGATTAATTTCTCAATGGTAATGAGCAGTTTGATAAAGTGAGTTGAATATTCTGAGAAAAAGTATAAAACAATAATCAATTACATAAAAAAGTCAGTCATCAAGAAAAGTCGATTGATTTCGATTAGAATTTACGAAGTAGACAGGTGGATCATTGTTTAACTTAAGTAAGAAAGCTATGGTTATTATTTAGGAATACGCTTTTCAATTAATTGTGTAAACTTCAAAACATTCTGTTTTTTATGTGTTAATGTTAACAGTGTTTTAAAATAATGTTTTTGTTAAATATTAATGTTTTGTGTATAATGGACTATTTTTTCTATGCTTAAATTTGTACCATTAAATTCAAATAATGTATTAGTTTAATGTTAAGAACCTTTCTGCTCTTCAGGTAATTCTGTTCCCGAAATGCAGCGAAACGATTCGAGGAAAAAAACGACAAATCAGAACAGTTTGATTCCCATTGATGGTAAACCACAATATACATGCAATCAACCAAAATACAAAACGTTAGAAGTAGAGTATCAATCACACTCTAGCCAAGAAATAACTATTGGTGGAACAAAAGAGAGTAGTGTAAATACTCCAGCTGCACAAGGTAATTTACTACATATATGATATATTATACATAATAAAGCAAACTGCTGAATCTGATTCACCTAAAGAGTTGCTTGAATGTTTTAATCAACTGATACACAAAGAGAACAAAGTTAAATGTTTAGTTTTTGAAAATTTACTGGCAAAAACATATTTATTCTATGTATCATTCAGTTTTTTGTCTCGGTGTCACCCGGTGCAGTCCGCATCCCCGCCCTCGCCTCGAGACTCCTGTGAACCCACCCCCATTAGTGTTATTTAGGAATATTCAAGAAAGTTTAGGGAAAATCACTCTCGCTTTATTGCTTGTAGTAACACAACTTTGATAGGTACACAATAGGTGATATGCTACTTTATACACAATTTTATTTATGGTTTTTTTACTCTTCAGCTAATTCCAATCTCAAAATGCCACGAAAGAATTCGAGGAAAAAAACGAAACCTCAAAACCGATCGATACCTGTTGACAGTAAACTACAAAATAAATGTAGCTCGTCGAAAATAACAAATTTAGAATTTGATTCTACAACACATTCAAGTCCAGAGTTAACTACCGATGGAACAAAACAGTGTAGTGTAAATACTCCAGTCGCACAAGGTGATACATTACACATAATAGAGCAAGCTGCTCAATCTGGCTCACCTAAAGAAATGCTTGAATGTTTTAATCAACTGATACACACTGAGAACAAAGTTAACCAAGAAAGTTTGGACCAAGGTCTTCTTTTGTCTTGTAGGTATGGTAGAGAGTTTTTGGTTCAGATTCTGATATTTCATGGTGCTAATATTGAGACAAGAGACGAAGATGGCAACACACCACTTTTGATATGTGCTGAGAAAGGTTTCACTGACATAGCTCTGTTACTGGTTGATAAAGGCGCTGATATCAACAGTTACAATAAAGACGGTGACACGGCACTTTTACTTTCTATCAAAACATCCGGGTCTTCTCATCTGATAAAAACACTTTTGGAAAAAAATTATTTAAATGTCAGACATAAAAATAAACATAAACATGACGCTTTGATGAAAACCATCGAAGTCCTAAACTTTCCATTTTTTAAAAAGCTGCTAGCACATTTATCGAATACAGGTAGATATACACTAAAATATTATGCTAAAAGTGAACCCAGCTTTACAGAAATTGTTGATAGCTTAGGTTTATCATCATTTTTATCAATTTTAATCCAGTATTCGGATATTGACAAATCAATCCTGAAAACAGCTGTTTTAATTAAAGATATTTACACAATAAAGCTTCTCTTATATTCTCAAGTTGTTGATTTTAGGAGCAACCACAGAGAAGTCAACATTTCTGTTTTGCCAGAATTCCTCAACTTTATTCAGCATAGTGGTCAAGAAATAACTAAACAAGATTTGAATATTATTAAAACATTATTAAAAGCTGGAGCCCCACTGAACTCTGATTACAGAGGAAATGAGCACCCATTGGTAACAGCAGTAAAACTTGGCTGCTATGATTTAGTGGAAATGTTGTGTCAACATACACATGAAAACTTTTGTTGTTATAGACAGTACACTCCCTTAGCTTTAGCGGCACAGATGGGACGATGTGACATTATGAATTTGTTAATTAAATACGGTAAAGGTGAGCTAGATAAAAGTTTAGCACTAAAATCTTCTGTTAAGCATGAACAAATTGAAAGCGCAAAGTTACTGGTCGAAATCGGAGCTACTATTCATTGCGGGGAAGCCCTCGATGACATTATAATAAACAACAGAGTAAAATCTTTTTTGTTTTTAAAAGAACATTTCAAGTATGATGTAATCTCTGCGATAAAAAACAAAGGGACACAGTTTCTGAACCTCGCAGCAAGTAAAGGACATAAAGAGATAATCAAACTACTGGTAGAAGAAGGAGCAGATCTTAATGCAAGTTACAACTACAAAACACCGCTAATGTCTGCGGTTGACCCCTCTACTATGGAGCTATTGATTAAAAGCGGTGCAGATGTAAATGCAAAGGTAGAGAAATACAGCGCTTCATTTACAATTTTTGATTGTATTTTAAATGAACACAAAGAAGGAAAAATGCGTGTTAAATTAGTAAACATGGTAAAAGTACTCATAAACCATGGCTTTAAAGTAAATGTCCAAGACAAAAAAGGCAACACTCCATTAATGAAAGCTTCACAGAAATCGAATATGGAAAAAGTGTTACGCTCTCTGCTACAAGCTGGGGCAGATGTAAATAATCAAAATAACGATGGTGAAAGTGCACTACATTTAGCTGTTTGTTGCAAATCTATACTTAATGCGAAAGTTCTTTTAGAATCTAAATCAGACATTGATTTAAAAACTAAAGACGGAAAGACACCTCTGTTTTATGCAATATTGGAACGATATTTAAACATGATAATTTTGTTAGTAGAAAACAATGCGAATGTGAATTGTGAGAATAATATTGGCAATACACCTTTGCTTTTCTTATGTTCTGATTATGTTAATGACGTTGATGTTATAAAGATGTTAATTAACTATGGTGCGTGTGTCAATCATCACAATAATAAAGGGTACACACCGCTGATGGTTGCTGCTAAGAAACAATCTTTTGATATCTTAAAAATCCTGTGCGAATCAGGTGCCGAGATCAATTCCGTTAACGAAAAGGAAAAGGAAACTGCTCTTTCTATACTACTCGACATGCCTTATAATAGAAATATTGTTCTTTACCTGATAGCAAAAGGGGCAGATTGCTCATGTGTGAGCCCCGCTATTATTCATCAATTAATTGTTAAGAAAGAGTTCAGCAGTTTGAAGCATATCATAGCGTTAGGTTTAGGACCTGCAGAGATAACTCCTGAAAGTTTTGACCCTGGAGCTTACGATAATACCTCCAAGCCTAAACTAGCGTCACCATTTGTGGTATCTCTAAGCAAAGGATATGTAAAAACTGCACGATTTTTAAACGACATTTGGTTTTTAACACTGTCTGACGTTTCAAATAATGCCTTCTATAAACAATTTAGGAGCTTACTTGTAGAAAATGAACTCATTGAACGTTTGGAGTTTCTAGACGAGTACCTATACCAGCCCATGTCTCTACAGAAACTCAGCTTTGTTGTCGTGTCGTCTGCTGTAGGTTCTGATGCTGGGAGAAAAGAACGGGTGGCAAAACTTCAAATTCCAAAAATGTTACAGGACAAGCTAGTATTTCTAAACGCCACAAAGCTGGAAGCTGAATTGGAGGAAGACAGAATTTCAACATCTGATGGCTTAGTCACAGATCAAGTTTTAAACGCTGGTGTACACAGACGCCGCCATTTCTACAGTGACAATCAAGATTATTATTCGTCTGATGATAATGGCTATGACAACACGGACTATGACTCTGATTATTAACAAATTATTTTAATGTCTTATTTTTTTTATAAAAGGAGTAGGCCCTATGTCGTTATTAGAATTAAGAGCAGAAAAAAAATATTCAGTGAAACTGATTATGAAAGAATGTACTTTAAATTAAAATAAAAATGTATTTTGAAGCTCTGTTTTATAACTTAGTACAGTCTCATAAAGTTACAAACATCAATAGATGCAATAGTTTGAAAACAAGCAAAAAATATGACTCGACACAAATTGAACGTACAAAAATCAAGCCAAAAACTGCTGTGGATAAGAAAGAACGTCTAGTGGTTAGCATAGGTTGCAGCCTCAGGTTTCTAAACAGTTTCAAGGCAATGAAATATTGAATGTTTCACTTTCTCTAATAAGGAATATAGTAAAGTATTGTAATCGTGCTAAGTTAAAAATCGAGAGTATGCATCCTTCTGAGTAAAATGCAAATTAACACATTTTACCATCTTGTGAGTCAGTGTGCCTATGTGTATGTGTCTTGTATTCCGTCCGTTAGACCCTCTGATCTGTAAGCGATAACTTGAGTATTGTCTCAGGTGGTTGAACTCTGATTTAGAAGTATAAACACAAATAAACGAGACGGGCTATGGGAGTTCGCTCCGGTTGTATTGTTATTAGAATGAGTAATTTGTATTAAATGCATTTAAATATAATTATGTGCCTTTATAATTTTTTTTAACTTTAAGGAGCGTTTGCCGCCCAATTAAAACCATAACTTAATCTTAAAATTGTATGTTGTGGAAATGTATTCAATATTTCCCTATTTTAAATTTTATCTAGACTACCCGTTATCTAGTTAGATAACTGTGGGTTTCCAGGGTCATCCATAAAAATTACTAGGCGTATACAACCTACACACATTACATTACATTTAATTAATCCCAAGTTAATTTGCACTCTCTGAATATTTAATACATAAAAGTATTAACCAATTCCATGCAAATATATATTTGTGACTTTTTTCCTGTGACTTTTTTTCCTGTGACTTTTTTTCTGTGTTTTTTTTTCCTATTTTATTTTAGCTTCAAATTAAGTTATAATCTTAACATCTATATTCTGATTAAAATAATATAAATTAAATAGCTTTAAAAAAGCGAATGTGATACAAAAAATACAGCAAAACAAATAACCATGCAAATAAATCTATATACTACTAAAACTCAAGTTTGTTTACATGTTTGAATATTTAGTTTTTTGTGGTTTTTTTTGTTTGTCTGATTGACTGTTGTAAATGGATACACTCTATGTGGAGAGCTGTAAAATAGTGTGTAGGTAGAGAACAATTTTTGTTTTCAGACAGACTGTTATTCACAAATTTATTTAAAGACGTTAGTTAATTTATTGATTTATTCATAGGTAGATTAAACACATTAATTTTAAAAGATTAGAAAAACGACTTGACTTGACGGAATAGTGACGTCACATGATGTGTTTATTTTTTACATCAATAATGGCGGCCTATCAAAGAAGATTGTGTTCCCATTCCAAAGTTTAACGCGTTCTAAAGCTAATTTTCTGTCGGCTATAACTTTAACAATACGTCCGTTTATTGTATTTATTACGTTCCAACACTTATATCAATTTCCAACTGTCTTTTTCATTTAGTTTTACGATAAATTTCTCTAGATCTGCAGATCAGCTGTCGAAGGAAGAACAAGCGTCAAGTTGAAGTTATGAATCTAGATCTAGATCTTTACGTAAATTCTAGATCTAGACTATAAATTCTACATCTAGAATCTATTTCAGGCCTTAATTATTTTATGTAAATCTTTGTTTAGCTTTAATGATCATCTAATTCGAGAATACATGGGATGTATCTATCTAGGTTCTAGATCTAGATATAGTAGGATTACTCGCTAACTTGGAGGCGTGGTCGGCTGCTAACAACAGCATGGCGTCCGGACCGGACGCACGACTTCCGACCATTTTTAGGCCACAATTACCACGAGCAAAATGGCCGGTTTTCACGTTATTTAAACATGCTATAGGTGGCCAGGGCTAAATATGCCAGAAAAGCATTTTGAATAATGAAAGCTAAATTTTAAATCGGTGTTATTAAAATTAATAGAACTTTTATAAGTATGAATTATATAGATTGTAATTATGTTAAACATAATATTTATAGCATTTAATAGAATGTCCACAGTTTTCATCGTGTTTTTTTTTAAATTAAATTACCGTGAAATGGTAAGGTCATCTGAATTACTGCCCTCAACTCATCGCAACAATAGTTATACTTAGTTCAACCACCTTTACTGCCCACATTTATCACGCTCATTACATAACAAAACTTAGGATCAAAACAGAGAGCCGATAAGGTTCAAAGGCTGTCATTGACACAAAACGTCAACAACACAAAATTTGTTCGGACAATGCCTACCGAGGGGAGGCCGACCAGAGAATAGCCTACGGCACAAAATATGCAAAACACAATGATATGCCTAAATTTCTTATATAGTTAACTTTTCTACCGCGTATTTAACTAAACACGTAACAAAAGTTGAGATTGTTGTGTAAATTATCTTGGTGTATTTTTACTTACAATTTTTATAAACCAGAATGCGTTTAACGTCTATAAATAATTTATGTTATCAAAAAATACAACCCACAACAATAAACATACAAAATTTTACAATTCTTAACAAATAAATCAAAGTATTTCTAAAAAGATTTTTGTGACTTTTTTCTGTGACTTTTTTTCCGATAAAATTTTTCCATTGTGACTTTTTTTCCATGACTTTTTTTCCTAGCAAAAAGTGCGACTTTTTTCTGTGTTTTTTTCCGTTCACCAAAAGCCTAGCCCCCCCCCCCCCCCCCACACACACACACCACATGAAAAAGACGTAACACCTTAGCTTACAACCCTCATCAATACTGATTTTTTTTACATCGATTTCTTTCTGCCAAAAATTGTCTTTACACTATCTGGACACCTCCTCCCCCTCAAAACACATCGTCACAAAATTACGAAATCCATGAGGAGTTTGGCGCCATTTATGGACGTTTTAACGTTTGTTTAGGGATTACTAAGAACTTAAGTGCTACTTGTTTTACTTTAGTAGGTTTATAAAATTTGTAAATACTACTGTACAATGTTAGTTGCATATTGAAAATATGGATTTTAAACAACCAATTTTTTCCTGAGAAAATGTTTCTTGTAAAGAATGGGACGATAGAGAGCTAGACTGCTAACCCTGAAATCTCGAGTTCGAATCCGGGTTCAAGTCAGTAGAACTTCGCTGAGTCCACCCAGCTCTGATGAGTACCTAACCCACGTTAGGGAAACAAAGGCTGGACATATTGCTGACTACGCAATCTCTAAATATTCCGAGGTCATCTGAAGCAGTGGGGTCGGCGTGGTCTAGTCGGTAAAGCTCATGGTTGCTAAACCGAAAAGTCTCGAGTTCGAACCCTCGGGCAGATGAGGCTCGTTAGCTGGGGATAGCCACTCTTCTAGGAGAGACTACTCCAAAATTAAACAACTGCTGCCTTGTAGGTTGTTCTTGGTTGGACAAAGGCTATGGAAGCAAATTCAAAAAGAAAAGCAGGCTGAAATCGGAGTCAATGGCCTCAATGGCGCATAACCAGTTGACACGTAACGCTTAATTGTGTTGGAGGCGTGGTCGAGTCGGCAAAAAGCTAATGGTTGATAAATTCGAACTGTCTCGAGTTCAACCCCACTGGCAGATAAATCTCGATCCCCTTCAACACTAATAATTAAGAACGAAGAAGAAGAAGAAAGATCTGAAGCAGTTGAACCCTACTTCATGTGTCCCATGTGTCTTAGGCACCAACGGGAAATTATGATGAAAACATGATGATTGCCTTCTTCTTAATCTGTTGGTACATAACTTGTACGTTTCAAGTTTCGTACAATCAGTGCATACATTTAATTCCATTATCTAAATCTATACAAACAGAATATTTACGATCAATCAAAAAAGTTTAGGAAAACCCAAAATGAGTATCCTACACTATCATCTACGCCCTACACACACATACGACGTTAGGAATAGTGCAGCTGTTTAGAGATATTGCCATTTCATGCTTCGAATACCTTGTTAGGGAAGAGTCTCTTTAAAAGCCATTTTGCCATGTGTAGAATTAAAAAGATTGAAAGTAATATTTTTTAAAAATCTAATGCTGGAGAATATTTCTATCATTATTTCTAACCAATATTGAAATACACATTTTTATTTGTTCTAGTACGAGTGTAAGATAATACACATATTTCAGCTGTTTTAATATTGGACAGGTATAAGACAACGCAGCTAAAAAAACATACAATTCTGTGGACAAGATTTCGCATTCGCTACTATCATTTTAGGTTATATAATATAAAACTGATTTATATTTCGGTACTATAAACAAACTCAGTTTACAACGTAACACGATATAGGGTACGAGATCACATAAATTACAAATAAAATTATGATACTGTAATGTATTAGTAGTCTGGTCACAATTTTGAGAAAGAAAAACGTATGAAATATCTATTCATCTGTACCATGAAAAACAGTTTCGTTTTCTATTGCATTGAAAATGACGTCATTGTGCCATTCTAATGTAGTCACCTGATATTTTTATTGAACCAACACTGTGTAGGTGACTTCCTGGTACGTACGTTTTCGCCTCCTAATTTATTTTTTTTATCTTTAAATTTGAATCTATATAGCACGCCCGTGAATTTAGTTTCTACTTTGATTATTTATCAAGAAGATTATAATTTCATTAACAAAGAGCAATAAAGATGAATGTAAAAACTGTATGTAAGCAACGGAGAAAACAAAATGGGATTAAAGAATGTATTCAAGTCAATTTGTAGGCTATAGTCTATAATTAGAAACTATATGGTGAAAGAGACAATGCATTAAGAAATAAATAAGATACCGACTATATTTTTTTAAATTTTTCTTAAGTATAAACTTTTGTGTTTGTGAAGGTAAACTAGAATCTATCAAAATATAAAGAGAAAATAAAAACCATATATTGTTCCATTAGGCCCCAAAGGTAGAATAAAGGTCACTTAGTTATATGCCTCTGTACCACGAAAAACAGTTTCGTTTGCTAGTGCATTCAAAATGACGTCATTGTGCCGTGCTAATGTAGTCACCTGATATTTTTATTGAACCTACACTGTGTAGTTGACTTCCTGGTAAGTACGTTTTCGCCTCCTGATTTCTTTTTTTTTTCATCTTTAAATTTGAATCTATATACCATGCCCGTGAATTTAATTTCTTCTTTGCTTACTTATCAAGATACTAAGTAGCAGATTATAATTTCATGAACAAAGAGAAATAAAGATAAATGTAAAAACTTAATGTAAGCAACGGAGAGAAAAATTGGTAGTAAAGAAATTAAAGAATGTAACCAAGTCAATTTGTAGGCTATAGTCTATACTTAGAAACAGTATAGTGAAAGAGATATTGCAATGAGAAATAAATAAGATACCGACTATATTCTTTTGATTTTTCTTAAGTATAAACGTTTGTGTTTGTGAAGGTAAACTAGAATCTATTAAAATATAAAGAGACAATAAAAACCATATTATATTCCATCTGGCCCGGAAGGAAGAATAAAGGTCACTTAGTTATTCGCCTCTTGGATTCTAAAGGTTGTTAATTGGATACCGTGGTCAGCGCTATGCCCACAGCTTTAAATCATGATCCGTAGCCTTAAACAAACATCACATACCACATTTATATGATATAGACGTTTAACTATAAATATATGTGGCCATGTTTCATTTAGAAATGCCTAAATTGATATAACTTAATGTTAATTTGGAAATTCAAAACTTCTTATTGATATGATTATTTTCTCAAGTTCAAAATTATTGATTTTTATTAATTTAGGAATGGTGCATTTTTTTCTAGAATTTATTTTCAAGTAACAAAATAGCTTAAATATTTTAAACTTTATATAGAGTAAGTGCAGTGCCCTTTGAAAACCGAAGATTCATTCAACGTTGAAGTAGATCTATTGTTTCTTTGTGTTGTCTGGTCAGAACTTTAAAGTCAGCAACTCAAGTCAGGTACACATTACGTCCAGAACTGAAGCCCCAAATCCACTTCTACAGATCAGCAACTGTTTGCTCTACTGATTGACCATTGTAATTATTTTAATTATTTATATATAATCACAAATACTCCCTTAATCACAAAGAAGTTTAAAATAATTATTTTTGTAAAAAAAATTAAAAATTTAATTTACCTTTAACTTAACTTTAATTGAATAACTTATGTAAGTTCCATTACTTTATATTTAAAAATAAAATCCACTTTAAGTAGTCTTGTATTTATTGTAACTAAAAAACAACTACCCAGTATATTTGTAACTACAATTTATATTAATCATTGATTATAGAATATAAAACTGATATAAAATCAACCTACCTCTATTAATAAGTAATTGTAACTCCACTGACTGACATTTTTGTTCATTATTCTTTAAATAATAGTTAAATAAAGTTTATTACCCAGGCCTAAATTAGAAGGCTTATTTTAATATATTATATATTATTATTAACTGTAGTATTTATAGTACATAGTCTTAAACTACTAAAACTAGTCTACAAATGTAATGCATGATCTACTTCTCCACTAAGTGAACTAGTAGACTACTTTTTAACTAAACTAAAAATCTTAGATCTAAATGTTTTAGTATGACAGTATTAGCAATTTTTAGATCGTACTTAGATCATCTCATCTCGGAATGAATCTCAAAATGTTATTTGTGCCTCAATTATTCTAGATCTAGTAGTTTAGTTCAAGAACAGTGGTTCTCAGCCCTTGTTTGATCGAACCTCAGGATTTGAAAATTTACCTCTCCCTGAATAACGAGAGGTCGTGCCACCTGTACTTAGAACCCCTTATACTTTAAAAAAAGAAATAGGCCTAGATTCGTTATCGATTTCTTTTATAACGACGAAGACGTTTCTAGCTAGCGTAGTCCCACGATTTATTACTTAACCAACATTGTGTAGCTGTCGTTTTACAGCCTGGTACGTACACATTCTTAACTTTTGTAGATTTTAATGTATGTGCTATTTCAGTGTATTGAAATTGTGTGTTGGAATAATAACTAAGGTATTGTTTATGAGGTAATATATTTCGTAAACAAAGAGAATAAAAATCAATAATAAAAGAGTATTTAAGCAGCGGAGAAAACACAATGGATGAAAAGAATTTCACTCAGACAATTTGACGAGATTACATATGCAGATAGAATTAGGTAAAAGAGATAATACATTAAAATACTTTTATGAATTAGAAAAGAACGAAATTATTCAGGTCAGACTGAATTATAAAAGTTTTTAAGGGTAAACTGAAACAGGTTACACGTTATGTAGGTCACCTCGTTTTTCACTTTTCTAAATCTTAGGTAAGCTGTTAGTTATAATTTGTTTAATTTTTGGATCAACTATTTAGCATATATGACTATATATGTGTTTGTATGTATGTGTGAAGACGTGTGTAGTTGTTTGTTAGGTTGCGTTTAATCCCTTCTCGCAGCACCAAAATTCGACAGAGGTGTATGACTTATAGGCACCATAGCCTAGGCAAACTACGTGTTTATCCCCTAACAGCCTTCTTCATCTTCGTCAACACACTTTCTCTGTATTCAACCGTTCTTTACATCTTTCACTGACCTTCTGCTTTTTTGATCTTGTATAAAAAAGAGAGCTGCTTATATACACACCCAGACACACACAGATGGCACGATCTTTTATTGTGCAGGTTCTGTCAAGGTCACACTATTATATTTTGGTACAACAATGTCGTAATATTTTGTATTGATGGTTTATCTGTGTCCACTGCGTTGGTTACAAAACATCTTGTTTACATCAAATATCACGACTTGTTACTAGTCAAATTCTTTCTTACATAACAACATCATGTTTACGTTACAGCTACATAATTTCTGAGTTTTGACCTTCCTATGACCTTTTTGACAGTTATTTAGTATTACTTTGTTATAAATTGCGTTATAAGTTACTTAACACTAGTTATTCACAGAATATATATATATATATATATATATATATATATATATATATATATATATATATATATATATATATATATATATATATATTCTTATAGAGCACCTTCCTATGAAGACATATCGAGATTTTAAAGCACAATGGATTTCACGGCTTCTTCATGTTTCTTTAAAGACGGAAAACATTCTGAAACAAAAGGAGCAGCCAGTAGCATGGTAGATGAGAAAGCTGCTGCTGACACATTATTTGCATCCATTAGATCTGGAAGAGCAGATGATGCTTTGAGTTTCTTCAATACCATCCGAGGCACCAAAGATATCTACAGCCAGGACACATTGGACCAAGGTCTTAGTTTAGCTTGTAAACATGGGAGACTATTCATTGTACAGATTCTAGTATTTTATGGTGCTAATATTGAGACGAAAGACGACAATGAGAACACACCACTTTTGATATGTGCTGAGAAAGGTTTCACTGACATAGCTCTGTTACTGGTTGATAAAGGCGCTGATATCAACAGCTACAATAAAGACGGCGACACAGCACTTTTACTTTCTATTCAAACATCCGGGTCCTCAGAGTTGGTTACAAAGCTTCTCGGAAAAGAAAACTTAAATGTGGACCATACGAATAGAAATGAACAAAACGCTTTCTTTAAAACCATACAAGTGTTAAATTTGCCATTATCCCGAATGTTGATTGATTATCAGGCTTACTCAAACTCTTGTACCGATACACTTAATACTACAAACACAAACATTAAAATCGAATGCAGAGCCAAAGTATTAGCTGACAGTTTAGGGCTAACAACGTTTACAGATGTTTTGATTGAACAAGTAAATAATTCTCCACCTTTACATCTTGCAGTATTGAAGAAAGACAAATATCTTATACAGCTTCTCTTGGTGTCTCGAGATTTTGACTTTAATAACAATAATAGACTTGAAAATAAAATTATTTCAAAATTTTTAATCAAACCACTAGAAGACGAAAGAGAAATTTCTGATGAAGATTTGACTATAGTTGAGATGCTAATAAAGGGTGGAGCTCCAGTGAATTTTGGTCGTTGTAATGTCTATTATGAAAGCCCTCTAACAATAGCAGTGAGGCTAGGCTGTTATGAGTTAATAAACATTTTATGTCTCAATGGTGCTGATGTGTCAGAAAATGATATTTATCATAAAAGTAAAATTCCATGGGATGAAGTCTTTGCAAAAGGTCGATGTGACATTATACACTTATTAGCGAAACATGGAGCAAAGGTCACCAACAATTTCACTTTAGCTCTCAATTCCGCTGTTGAACGAGGACAAATAGATTTTGAAAAACTAAAACTTGAACTAGAAAACATTAAGATGGAATCTACATCAAACACAAGTCAAGTATCAACGAGTAATGAAGACTGCAAAATTAGTGCAGACGCTGCAGCTCAACAATACGATATATTAAACATGATTGAGCAAGCTGCTCAATCTGGCTCACCTAAAGAAATGCTTGAAAGTTTTAATCAACTGATATACAAAGAGAACAAATTTAACCAAGAATATTTGGACAAAACTCTGATTTTGTCTTGTAGATATGGTAGAGAGTTTTTGGTAAAGATTCTGATATTTCATGGTGCAAATATAGAGACGAGAGACGACGATGGCAACACACCGCTTTTGATATGTGCTGAGAAAGGTTTCACTGACATAGCTCTGTTACTGGTTGATAAAGGCGCTGATATCAACAGTTACAACAAAGATGGTGACACAGCACTTTTACTTTCTATAAAAACATCCGGGTCTTCTGAACTGGCGAAAAGAATGCTTACAAGAAGTGATTTAAATGTGTACCATAAGAATAAAAGGGGAAATGACGCTTTGATAAAATCAATTGAAGTCTTAAACCTGCATCTAATAAGGGTCCTTCTGGAGCACAAATCTAAATTTAGTGAGTGTCTACCATCAAAAGATAATTTTAACAAAGAAGAAATTGCTTTGAAAATAGCAGATAGATTAGGTTTAAAATCATTGCTCGAAATGTTGATAAATCAACTTAACCAGGACAAAACAGCTTTGAAAATAGCTGTTTTGGAAAAGAACATATACGTTTTAGAGTTACTCTTAACATGCGGAGTTTTTAAATTTGATTACAGAGAATGGATAAATAGCTCTATTGTTTCGGATTTTTTAATATCAATAATGGAAATAAATGCACCATTGACTGATAAAGATTGGGATATTATTAAAGTATTAATTCACGCTGGTGCTCCTTTAAATTGTTATGGTCATCTGAATGGAAAATTCGAAAGCCCTCTCACATTAGCAATCAGAATGTGCCACTATGAACTAATAGAATTTTTATGTCTCAATGGAGTAAGTGTCGAAGAAAGTACCAATGATATCCCCTGGCTTGATTTGGCTAACAAAGGTCGTTGCGACATTATAAACTTGTTATTTCAACATGGAGCAAAGGCCAATGGAAATGTTTGTTTTACACTAGAATCATGTATTAAAAATCAGCAAATAGATTGTGCAAAACTACTCCTAGAATGGGGGGCTAAAGCTGATATTAGACTAATCCTTGAAGAAATTATACAAAACAACAGGGTTAAATCTTTTATGTTTTTAAGAGAATATTTCTCTTCCGATGTAAATTATGAGATCGGAAAACAAGGAACAAAGTTGCTAAATGTAGCCGCAAAAAAAGGGCACAAAGATTTGATTGAATTGTTGGTAAAAGCTGGGGCAGACATAAATGCAAGTTATGAAGACAAAACTCCCCTAATGTCAGCCGTTGATCCAACTATTATTGTGTGCTTGGTTGATCTTGGGGCTGATGTAAATATCTTAACACATGTATACGAGTACCCGTTTTCACCTCTACAATATTTTATTACTGAATGTTACAGGAGAAAAAAATCTAAAAAGAAAAACGTGCTTGAAATAATTAAAGTAATCATACAAAAAAAGGCAGACATAAATATTAAAGACAGAGAAGGTAACACTCCATTAATGAAAGCTTCAGAAATATCAGATATGGAAGATGTTTTACGTGCTCTCCTACAAGCTGGGGCAAATGTTAATCAACATGATAAGAAAGGGGAAAGTGCTTTACATTTCGCTGCAAAAAGTAATTGTATACTTAATGCGAAAGTCCTGTTGGAGTTTAATTCGGAAATCGATATAAAAAATAACGAAGGAAAGACAGCTCTGCTTTACTCCTTACAAAATGAAAGTACAAAAATGGTTCATTTACTTATAGGACAAAATGCGAGTGTAAATTGTCAAGACAACAAAGGTGATACTCCTTTGCATTACGCTTGTTCTAGATTTGACGATTCATTAAAAGTTATACACCTGCTCATTAAGTCAGGTGCTTGTGTGAATCAACAAAATAGTGAGGGCTATAAACCTCTGATGGTAGCAGCAAAAAGGAAATCATTTAAAATGATAAAACTACTATGCGAATCAGGAGCTGATATCAATATCGTTAATGAGAAGAAAAACGTAAATGCCTTCTCTATATTTTTGATCTATTTAGGTAGATACGATACCAAGAGCGTATTTTATTTTCTAGAAAAAAGATCTGAAACTTCTCACTTAAATCCTGGTGTTATTCATGCATTAATTATAAATGAGGCAGTTGGTTATTTAAAAACTATAATCGGTCTGGGTTTGGGACCTGATGACGTAACACCTGCCTGTTTTGGTTATGAATATTTATCATTTAAGAGAGCTTCACCACTATTGGTATCTCTTTTATTTGGTAACATAGATATAGCTCGGTTTTTAAACGACATTTGGTTTTTAACATCATCTGACGTGTCGTCTCTTGCCTACAATGAAACATTAAGGAAAAAGCTAGAAAAAAACAAACCAAGTGAGTGTTTAGAGTTTCTAGACGAGTACTCATCCCAGCCCATGTCTCTACAGAAACTCAGTTTTGTTGTCGTGTCGTCAGCTGTAGGTGCTGATATTGGGAGAAAAGAACGCGTGCAGCAACTACCCATTCCAAATACGTTTAAGGACAAGCTGCTGTTTAAGCATGCAAATCAGGTACTTTTGGAAGGGGAAGAAGAAAGTTTGAGTGATGAGGTTTCAACAATGAGCACATTGTCATTAGACTACTCGGTTGTGTTTCAATCAGACACCACTTATTATAGTAGTGACAGCTCTACTGATGATTCAGATAGTTATTATGACTACAATCCAGATAATTAGTCAATATTTTCATTCATATATATATATATATATATATATATATATATATATATATATATATATATATATATATATATATATATATATATATATATATATATATATATATATATATATATATATATATATATACTAGGCATACTGCCTAGCTTCGCTTAGGTTTTCAAAAAAGTTGGGGAATTGAATGATTAATTAATAGGTGATTGGCTGCTATCTTAAATGCTTAGGGCCTAAATTTTTACAGTGGAGTATTTTAATGTCACTCAAATAATCGAAGGAATATTCGCAAACTTATTACTTATACGGTTATTAGAACTGCAAGGGTTTTCTTAATATTATTAATCAAATATAATAATAAATTACTTTCGCAATTAATTTATACAATTACAGTTCAATGCAAAACTTAATTCGTAACAAAATATTTATTTTAAACAATGTTATACTTTATGATTTTTGTTTTTTTTCTTAAAAAGAGTATACAAAATATTAAAAAATTATTACATTAAAAAGTTACCTCCCCTGTTCAAAGACCAAATGACCAAATCTTGTATAATGAGAATTTCACTCGCGGTCATTTTTAGCCCTCTAAGAGGGCTGTAAGTCTGACCAACAGTTTTCTATACGGCGTAGTCAGCTTTTGAGGTGTATACAAAAAGTAGTCAGATGTAAAGACGGTAAGTGTCCCAAAATCCGTTTTGAAATCACCCTCTGTTTTTCCCATAAAATACAAAGATTATATAGGGAAATACGACTGGTCAGTTTTGACCCATTTAACGAATTTTCCCGGACATGGCGAGTTTTTTGGGACACCCCAAGGCGTTCTCCTACCACCTCACAAAATTTCAAGGGGGGTCGTCGGAGGAAATTTTTTTTCGTAATAGAGCTCATATAAAGAGAATTTCACTCGCGGTCACTTTTTAGCCCTCGTCGAGGGCTTTGAGTGAAACCGACAATTTTCCCTAAAGGTCAAGCCATTCACCTTAGAGCATGCAAAAAATTAGCCAGATGTAAAGACGGTAAGTGCCCTAAAATCCGTTTTGAAATCACCCTCTGTTTTTCCCATAAAATACAAAGATTATATAGGGAAATACGACTGGTCAGTTTTGACCCATTTAACGAATTTTCCCGGACATGGCGAGTTTTTTGGGACACCCCAAGGCGTTCTCCTACCACCTCACAAAATTTCAAGGGGGGTCGTCGGAGGAAATTTTTTTTCGTAATAGAGCTCATATAAAGAGAATTTCACTCGCGGTCACTTTTTAGCCCTCGTCGAGGGCTTTGAGTGAAACCGACAGTTTTCCCTAAAGGACAAGCCATTTACCTTAGAGCATGCAAAAAATTAGCCAGACGTAAAGACGGTAAGTGCCCTAAAATCCGTTTTGAAATCACCCTCTGTTTTTCCCATAAAATACAAAGATTATATAGGGAAATACGACTGGTCAGTTTTGACCCATTTAACGAATTTTCCCGGACATGGCGAGTTTTTTGGGACACCCCAAGGCGTTCTCCTACCACCTCACAAAATTTCAAGGGGGGTCGTCGGAGGAAATTTTTGTTCGTAATAGAGCTCATATAAAGAGAATTTCACTCGCGGTCACTTTTTAGTCCTCGTCGAGGGCTTTGAGTGAAACCGACAGTTTTCCCTAAAGGTCAAGCCATTTACCTTAGAGCATGCAAAAAATTAGCCAGATGTAAAGACGGTAAGTGCCCTAAAATCCGTTTTGAAATCACCCTCTGTTTTTCCCATAAAATACAAAGATTATATAGGGAAATACGACTGGTCAGTTTTGACCCATTTAACGAATTTTCCCGGACATGGCGAGTTTTTTGGGACACCCCAAGGCGTTCTCCTACCACCTCACAAAATTTCAAGGGGGGTCGTCGGAGGAAATTTTTGTTCGTAATAGAGCTCATATAAAGAGAATTTCACTCGCGGTCACTTTTTAGCCCTCGTCGAGGGCTTTGAGTGAAACCGACAATTTTCCCTAAAGGTCAAGCCATTTACCTCAGAGCATGCAAAAAATTAGCCAGATGTAAAGACGGTAAGTGCCCTAAAATCCGTTTTGAAATCACCCTCTGTTTTTCCCATAAAATACAAAGATTATATAGGGAAATACGACTGGTCAGTTTTGACCCATTTAACGAATTTTCCCGGACATGGCGAGTTTTTTGGGACACCCCAAGGCGTTCTCCTACCACCTCACAAAATTTCAAGGGGGGTCGTCGGAGGAAATTTTTTTTCGTAATAGAGCTCATATAAAGAGAATTTCACTCGCGGTCACTTTTTAGCCCTCGTCGAGGGCTTTGAGTGAAACCGACAGTTTTCCCTAAAGGTCAAGCCATTTACCTTAGAGCATGCAAAAAATTAGCCAGATGTAAAGACGGTAAGTGCCCTAAAATCCGTTTTGAAATCACCCTCTGTTTTTCCCATAAAATACAAAGATTATATAGGGAAATACGACTGGTCAGTTTTGACCCATTTAACGAATTTTCCCGGACATGGCGAGTTTTTTGGGACACCCCAAGGCGTTCTCCTACCACCTCACAAAATTTCAAGGGGGGTCGTCGGAGGAAATTTTTTTTCGTAATAGAGCTCATATAAAGAGAATTTCACTCGCGGTCACTTTTTAGCCCTCGTCGAGGGCTTTGAGTGAAACCGACAATTTTCCCTAAAGGTCAAGCCATTCACCTTAGAGCATGCAAAAAATTAGCCAGATGTAAAGACGGTAAGTGCCCTAAAATCCGTTTTGAAATCACCCTCTGTTTTTCCCATAAAATACAAAGATTATATAGGGAAATACGACTGGTCAGTTTTGACCCATTTAACGAATTTTCCCGGACATGGCGAGTTTTTTGGGACACCCCAAGGCGTTCTCCTACCACCTCACAAAATTTCAAGGGGGGTCGTCGGAGGAAATTTTTTTTCGTAATAGAGCTCATATAAAGAGAATTTCACTCGCGGTCACTTTTTAGCCCTCGTCGAGGGCTTTGAGTGAAACCGACAGTTTTCCCTAAAGGTCAAGCAATTTACCTTAGAGCATGCAAAAAATTAGCCAGATGTAAAGAAGGTAAGTGCCCTAAAATCCGTTTTGAAATCACCCTCTGTTTTTCCCATAAAATACAAAGATTATATAGGGAAATACGACTGGTCAGTTTTGACCCATTTAACGAATTTTCCCGGACATGGCGAGTTTTTTGGGACACCCCAAGGCGTTCTCCTACCACCTCACAAAATTTCAAGGGGGGTCGTCGGAGGAAATTTTTGTTCGTAATAGAGCTCATATAAAGAGAATTTCACTCGCGGTCACTTTTTAGCCCTCGTCGAGGGCTTTGAGTGAAACCGACAATTTTCCCTAAAGGTCAAGCCATTTACCTTAGAGCATGCAAAAAATTAGCCAGATGTAAAGACGGTAAGTGCCCTAAAATACGTTTTGAAATCACCCTCTGTTTTTCCCATAAAATACAAAGATTATATAGGGAAATACGACTGGTCAGTTTTGACCCATTTAACGAATTTTCCCGGACATGGCGAGTTTTTTGGGACACCCCAAGGCGTTCTCCTACCACCTCACAAAATTTCAAGGGGGGTCGTCGGAGGAAATTTTTGTTCGTAATAGAGCTCATATAAAGAGAATTTCACTCGCGGTCACTTTTTAGCCCTCGTCGAGGGCTTTGAGTGAAACCGACAATTTTCCCTAAAGGTCAAGCCATTTACCTTAGAGCATGCAAAAAATTAGCCAGATGTAAAGACGGTAAGTGCCCTAAAATCCGTTTTGAAATCACCCTCTGTTTTTCCCATAAAATACAAAGATTATATAGGGAAATACGACTGGTCAGTTTTGACCCATTTAACGAATTTTCCCGGACATGGCGAGTTTTTTGGGACACCCCAAGGCGTTCTCCTACCACCTCACAAAATTTCAAGGGGGGTCGTCGGAGGAAATTTTTTTTCGTAATAGAGCTCATATAAAGAGAATTTCACTCGCGGTCACTTTTTAGCCCTCGTCGAGGGCTTTGAGTGAAACCGACAGTTTTCCCTAAAGGTCAAGCCATTTACCTTAGAGCATGCAAAAAATTAGCCAGATGTAAAGACGGTAAGTGCCCTAAAATCCGTTTTGAAATCACCCTCTGTTTTTCCCATAAAATACAAAGATTATATAGGGAAATACGACTGGTCAGTTTTGACCCATTTAACGAATTTTCCCGGACATGGCGAGTTTTTTGGGACACCCCAAGGCGTTCTCCTACCACCTCACAAAATTTCAAGGGGGGTCGTCGGAGGAAATTTTTGTTCGTAATAGAGCTCATATAAAGAGAATTTCACTCGCGGTCACTTTTTAGCCCTCGTCGAGGGCTTTGAGTGAAACCGACAATTTTCCCTAAAGGTCAAGCCATTCACCTTAGAGCATGCAAAAAATTAGCCAGATGTAAAGACGGTAAGTGCCCTAAAATCCGTTTTGAAATCACCCTCTGTTTTTCCCATAAAATACAAAGATTATATAGGGAAATACGACTGGTCAGTTTTGACCCATTTAACGAATTTTCCCGGACATGGCGAGTTTTTTGGGACACCCCAAGGCGTTCTCCTACCACCTCACAAAATTTCAAGGGGGGTCGTCGGAGGAAATTTTTTTTCGTAATAGAGCTCATATAAAGAGAATTTCACTCGCGGTCACTTTTTAGCCCTCGTCGAGGGCTTTGAGTGAAACCGACAGTTTTCCCTAAAGGACAAGCCATTTACCTTAGAGCATGCAAAACATTAGCCAGACGTAAAGACGGTAAGTGCCCTAAAATCCGTTTTGAAATCACCCTCTGTTTTTCCCATAAAATACAAAGATTATATAGGGAAATACGACTGGTCAGTTTTGACCCATTTAACGAATTTTCCCGGACATGGTGAGTTTTTTGGGACACCCCAAGGCGTTCTCCTACCACCTCACAAAATTTCAAGGGGGGTCGTCGGAGGAAATTTTTGTTCGTAATAGAGCTCATATAAAGAG